TCCACCAATCACCGGAACAATAATAATATTATGTCTCTCGCGTGAAACAGGGCATGCAATTATAAACAGCAATGTAAAGATTTACTCTTTTCAGTTTTAGTAAACGTTTTACGGTACTTGCTACACAAGGTCATATAGTATATTATAGTATTATAGGTCTTTGTGCCGAAGATCAGAGGTGTTAAAAGAGTAACAAACATTTTTTAAAAAGAGGAGGGACAAGAACGATTGCTGATTGCTTTTTTTTTAATAGGAAAGAAGGAGAAAACCACGCCACAGCACCCGCAAAGCACCCACAAGATTTACTGTGCTGAGTGGTGAGTACAAAATTGTCTTAATTGTAGAGTCCTTGAGCATCATGTCATTTGTGCTAAGTCGAATTTGTTTTTATTTGTACGCTAGCTCTTGTCTGAGCCCAGAGACACCCACACCCCACCCATTTTTTAAAAACCTATATATATATATATACACACACAGCCATTCTTAGTCTACCTCAGTGTCTTCTGCGTTCTGACTTTCCAGTGTTTTTAAAGCCTTTATGTCGATTAGAGTGCCCTGTAAACTGCATTCGTCTCTTCGTAATTGTTTAGGGTTGGGATTTTTAAAAATAAAAGATTGTCCCATGCTTGGTTTTTCCCCCCCAGCAAAACCGCCTCATTTGATATGTTTTCCTTCCATGAAACTGTGACAGTCTAAAAAAACAACAACTAACAAACAACCTCACACATGCTTCTGTTGTGACTCCTTCAAACTGTTTATTATTCTCTTACATGAGGCGACAATGGAGTATGTGTAGCGACTTCTGTTTACACTAAAAAGACGACATTTCTTCCGTTCGTTTAACAATAATAATTCTCCCCAAACACGCATACCCCACCCACTATTTTGTTAACAACTTGTGCACACTTGCCCCTCACAAAACACAGCCTGGGGGGGACATTAAAACTTGAGACCATGAGCACCTTAAAACACGGTTAATCTTTGTGACAGGGGGAAAAATGGGCCCAGCGGTTACGGAGCGCAATGCAAGCCTTTTTTATCCCGTGATTAAATTAAGGAAAGACCTCGTGACTTAACTTGAGACACATTCACCATGACTGACGTGAAAAAACCACGCACCTCCTGTTATATCATCCTCTCCACACTCGTCTTGAGACAAAAACTTATACAGTTCTTGCACAACAGGGTAACCAAGCCATCGCTCCTCCAACAATCCTCACCAATAAACATTTCACTTTACTAAAATTTAGAGCCCAGAAAAGCATTTATAAGGTAAGGCTCAAAACCAGAACTCTTTGTGTGTGTGTGTGTGTGTGTGTGTGTGTGTGTGTGAGAGAGAGAGAGAGAGAGAGAGAGAGAGAGAGAGAGAGAGAGAGAGAGAGAGTGTGTGTGTGTGCGTGCATGTATGAGTGTGAATGTGTGTGTGCATGTGTGAGTGTGTGAATGTGTTTTCTTAAATTAGTGACAAAGTTGAGCAGATTTTTTAAACCTGAAAAAGATCTCTCTCTCTCTCTCTCTCTTGCCCTTTTTTTAACTCAGTGGAACATAGGCCATCAACAACATTTCTTCAGCGAAAAAGATACCAACCAAATTGTGTCCTCCATCTTAGTCTTAGGTGTGTGGTCATGCCTTCTTTCACTTACCAAAGCTCAATAAATTGTCCATGTCAACACGATGAAAAGATTGTGGATTTCATGGAAATTCTGACAACTATAATCACGTAACTTCTTTCACATAATTAGAAGACAATTGTTTTTAAAGGAGGAGGGGGAGGGGCCTTAAGAGGCTACAGGCATGACTAATTAAGTCAGTTGATCAAACGGAATCTCTTTTCAAATTAATATTGGGTATAATTGCGCTTGCATGGCCATCCAAACCAAACACTCTTCTTCATTGCAGAGGTATTGGGGAACAAAATAAAATGATCTTCCCACTTCAAAAGATAAGTGATAAAAAAAAGAAGCTGCAATAAATTTAGTTTTAGTACCAGTTTTACAGCATTTCACTTGCAACACAAGAGTAACAAACAGGAAAAAGAAGGAGGAGAAAAAAGAACAACATATTTGACAGGAAAGAAGGAGCAAATCACACCAGAGCCCCCTCAAACCACTCACCAATATTAAGTGTGTATACACACATGACATGATTGTGTTATATAAGCAATCTTTACTTTTTCCACATTTGACCAAAAGTTTAGGGTAAACATTCTTACTTTTCATAAAAACTCCAGAGATTCTTTCTTCATCTTCTTTTCCAATGCAATAGGCTTGAAAAAAAAAAGCATAATCTCTTCAACAGATTTTGTTAAAATTCATAAGTAAACCCCATATAACAATTACATTTCTTTAGAATAAACCCCCCCAGAAAAATCAAGTTAAGTTAAATGATAGTTCAATATAAACCATATATATATCCTTAATATATGAGTTAATATCATCTACCAAAATGCATGATGTGCCGGCCATGCTAGCGACCGCAGAGTACTAAACTATCTTGGCTAAATTGTAGTTTCATTACAGCTGTGAGTGAAACACCTGTTACATACGACAGTAATCTAGATTAGTGGGTCTGACTCTCATGAAACCAGATCAGTACAAACTTACTTTTATTGTTTAAGTCCTTGGTTTCATTTGACTTTAAATTAACTGATGGACCAGATTTTTAGCTTTGGTGGCGGAGGGTGGCAAAAAATTACCATGAGTGTGTTATCCTAAACCTGAAAATCATTTGTTAATAAAACAGCTGTACTCCAAACTAAAAAAATAACCCAGGAAATGTATCTCAGTCAACAAGTAAAGCGAAATCCCGACAAGAAAGATCATTACAATTACTATCTCATTCATCACAAGACACATTTCACGGACAAAAACTGTTGTCTTTACTTTCCATAGACACTCACAGTCAGTCATAAAACAGAACAGACACATGACTCATAAAAGGAATTGACCCAAGTATGAGAATTAGAGATTACTTTACAACTTGTGTTGGAAAGAGAATCATGTCCGATATAAATTTTACCTTTTTGTTTTGGCAAGTTTTTTTAGGGGCCTTGCAACTGCACATGTTTATATGAATGCACGGGACACAATAAAGCATTTCCAGTCTGGTAGGAATTTTGAAATTTGCCCGTGCGGCAGCCAAAGCCTACTCATGTTGCTTTTGGGCCACCAAGGGATCTCAAACGTTTGCAACTTGCACACAGGACCTCCCAAGATTTTCATCTCTTATTCGAGAACGCTATGTGTTAGATCTTACCTACCCTAAGACCAGGGGTGTGGCAAAAAGGACAACAGTAAAAAGGAGCCAAGGAGAAGCAGTAGAAAGGCTGTAGAACAAGTCAGGAGCTCAGAAGAGGGGGCAAAGGGGGGAGGGGGTGCAGGCAGAAAGTGGAGACGAAAACAGACGACAGAACATGATTAAAGAGTAGGAAAGGAGGTGAAAGGAAAAAATTTTAAAGAAAATTGTAAGTCGCCGTCAAGTTTCGAAAACGGGGACTGCCGGGGACCTATTGAATGAGAGGCGAACACCGTAATGGTAACCGCTAGGCCTACGAAAGCCCCTAAATTTGGCTTTGACCTTACAAGAGTTACAAAAGGGTAATTGACCCAAGCATCAAAAGACTAAAAGATCGTAACTATAATTGGGAAGAGGTTGATAGTTAAGTTTTTTAGTTTGAGTAAGTTTTACGGCACTTGCTACACAATAAGGTAATATGTGACGAAGATTACAGAATAATGTGTTAGAAGAGAGTAACAATTACAAATACAAAAAAGAAAGCGAGATCAGGATGATGATAGACATTCGATAGGAAAGATGGAGCAAACCACACCAGAGCACCCACTAACTACCCACGACGTTGATAGTTTTACAAGTTGGGAAGAGAATAATGTCCAAATAAGTAAGACCTTACAAGGATAACAAAAGAATAATTGTCCCAAGTATTAGAAGAAGATGAGAATTCAAACTGCTTTGATACATGGTTAGTAGTTTTACAAGATGAAAAGAGAATCATGTCCAATAACTGAGACCTAACACGAATTGCATCTTGAGCTGCTAATGTAATAAGAGCAGAAGACCCATGGCCTGGAGCAGAAGAAACAGCACCATGAATAGAAAAGATAAGTTGTCATTCCCATCCTAAGCCCCAAACCGTCTTCTCCATAGCAATGATATATATATATAACCAACTAAGAAGCATCGGAAACAGTGAGACTTTGAGTATTGTGGAGTCTGCTTAAACTGAAATCAGCACGATTTTTTCAGCGTAGCTGGTTATTCAGCAGATTAGAGATGCTGTTCAAATAGAAGAAAAAACAATTGAGTATTTATTTCATTTTGGTTTACTACTGTTTTGAGATTAATCATGCTCAGTTTCAGCCGACTCTTGTATTTAAATTGACATAGATGTCAAAGAAAAAAGTGACCAGTATGGATGTACACAGAACAAGACAAATGACCATCTTTGAGCCTCTTACCTGTTGATATTGCCATGCTCACAGCCAAAAGAATACTTTTCTAGGCGCAGAATACAGCGGAAAGTTTTATTTTATACAAATTACAATTCCAACGGACTGTTGATTAGAAACTTTTTCCACTTTTCTTCCCCATTTACTCCTTCTAGAATGTAAATTCAAAGTTCGGTTCACGAAAAGCTTTTCATTTTTTTTTACTGTTGTTTATTCACAATTTTATAATTATAATTCTTTGAGCACAAAAGGAATTAATAATCAACCAGTTCATGGGCACAAGCTTGATGATGAATCAGGGTTATTTTTGGGCACATGTATTATTTCCATGCTGTTTGCAAGGCAAAAAGTGTTTTCACTATGGAAAGCCTTTCATGTAACTTTATTTAGCAATGACCTACTTTTCTCACTTTTTGTAAATACTTAATACATACCTCAGCAAATGCATTGCAAAACAATTCTACTGCATTCTGCTCTGAACTAAACTTTCTTCTCTAAATTTTTATACAATCACATAAATTTTCGGGAACTCACCGTATTATCGGCTATCCTTTCTCCATGAATAACATACTCCGGCTTGAGTTTGTAATTGTCCGGCGACAACTGCTGCTGCCGGTCCTCATTGTTGTTGCTGCCATCACCACCACCACTCGTCTCTAAAGGGGTCAACTTGCATAGTTTGACCTTGCTGAGCCCACCACCTCCCATGGGTACCCATCCCCCTGTCGAGTCATCACGAGTCATCACCTGTGCAGAAACTTGCACGAGGTAGTCCCCACTGTGAAAAGAAAAATACAATTCAAGAAAGGTAAAAAAAACTTTGCTAAACAGAAAATAATTTTATTTTTTTTAATTACAATTTTGGCTGCTGACCTGCAAAGTATTTACCATAAGAGAAGCAAAATTAGCAAACAACAGTAGTAGTCATTCAAAAGTGAACCTTTTTAACCACCACCACAGTTCACGAAAATAGTAGCATACAGAAAACAAAAACATTCAGGGTGTCAGTGAAGAGAGGCACATTGACACGATAATGGCCATTTAGCACCACATTTCAACCAACTGACTATCATTTAATTAAAGGGCAACGAGCAACAGATGAAATCCAGGAAAGGAAATCAAATTTACTGTGATTAGCTGAACAAGCCTATGAAGTCAAAGTAAATCAAGACACGTGGCACCGATTGTATCAATACTGTCTCTCAATACTCATGTTCAAAAGAAAAGTGGTTGTCTTACACAGGTGCACATCTGGAACAGTACAGTGTCATTATAAGTAAAAATGCAAGAAAGTGGGAAGTAGCCGTTTGTATAGCTCATTGTCTTAGACTTAAAGGTTCAACTGTACTTATAACATAAATTCTTTAAGAGCCATAGAGGAGATTTGGCAAGACCCAGTTATGAACAAGAAAAGAAGTCCTAGATTATGATGCTTTGTGTCCATCCAGCTACAAACCTCTATACAAACATTTAATATCAACAATATCAAAAATATAATGGTACATTTCATTCAGAAAAATTGCATTTACAAAAAAACACATTCCATTCATTATGATACATGTAGGACAGTCTGGGACAAGAACCCTGATTTTTAAAAAAATCTTTTTCGGTGAGAGTTTTACGGCGCTTGCAACTGCACCAGGTCATAGGAGCACATGGGGCACACCAAACATTTTCAGTTGATTGGAAATTTTGAATTTTGCTAGGGTGGTTGCCGAAGCCTACTCTTATCAATTTTGGACCACTAAAGGATCTTTAACCAGCGTAACTTGCACACCGGACCTTGTGAGATTTTTTGCCCTTCTCAGAGACAGCTAGGTGTAGATCTTACCTACCGTAAGATCAGGGGTGTGGCTGAAAGACAGCAGTAAGAAGGAGCCAAGGAGAAGCAGTTAAAAGACTGCTGAAAGAGTTAGGAGCCAAGAGGAGGGAGCAAAGGAAGTGAGGGGGTGGGGCAGAAAGTGGAGACGAAAGCAGACGACAGAACATTGTTAGAGAGCAGGAAAGGATGTGAAAGGAGAAAATTTTTCGTCGTTATCTGGATTCGAACCCAGGACCTATTGAATGAGAGGCGAACACCTTAACCTCTAATCCACGAGAGCCCCCAATCCTGATTTACAGAAAAAGAACAGTGTAATTTAATGATGAACTGACACTGTAAGTCACTTTTGTCCACAATAATAACAATTGTAGTCTTTATCTCACTGGAATTAAAGCACATGAAAAGAAGAACAGTAAAAGTACATTCACAAAAAAAAAGTATGTCAAAACAAGTAAAACTGAATTTGAACCTGCTCTCACAGCCACCTGACCAAGACAATCACCAGTAAAAATGGCCACTTTCCACTCCACTCCCTGCACTTTTAAAAATTACAATGACACTGTCCAAGACGTCCATCTGTCTAAAACAACCACTTTTCTCCTTGTAACTGGATGGCCGTCTTTAACAATGTTGACTGTTATTTATGTTACTTTGCTTTGCATGCTTTTTAGTATTTAGCAGAGATCCTATAGCTTTTCATTTTTACACCTTGCATTTAGCGAGACCATGTGGCAACAGTAAAGTTTCCACTACCTAACTTTTAAAAAGTGTGATCCTCTATGCACTCAAAACTTTCTACAAAGTGCCATTAATAGACAGGCAGGGATAAAAGTGGCTGCTGACTAAAAAGCTTGAAAATTTTAAAGTGAGTAGGCAGACCAAAAAAAAAGAAACATGGTCAATTTATGGCGTCGGTGGCCTAGTGGCTAGGCTACTGGACTCGTAAACGGGAGGTTGCGGGTTCCGGAGTTCGAGCCTCGGGCCCGACGTTATGTCCATGGGAAAGACACTTTACTTTACATCAATTTTCCTCAATTCACCTAGGTGGGAATGGGCACCCAGCAGGGGCGGCTCGTAGGGCTAAAAAGTGGACATGCACAATACTATTAAGCTTTCGCATGCTGGAGATAGTCAAGGGCATAGTAAATAGTAAATGAGACGGTGTATAATTTTAGGATCTTTGGGCTGGTGAGGGAGGACCTCGTGTTTTTATTTTCACTCTTTTTACTTGTCGCTTTAATTTCTAGTACTAAAGTTGTTTGTTAGCTAAACATCAATTTTGTTCATCCTGTATTGGAACTGAACACACAAGTAATAACTTTCACTACTCCACTACAAAACCATTCAAAGGCACAACTCATAGGACGGTCACGTTCACCTCCCTCAGGTTCACTGTCAGAGAGTCACTTAAAATCATAAGAGTTATCTCCTTTTAAACCTACAGTGTACATCTAGGCGTATGCTTAAAATAGTGGCAAGACAGATAATGAACCAATCACAATTCACTTGAGCACTCTGCTGGATTGCTCCGGGGCTCACATAATATTGGCAAAGAATAGCCTACGGTCTATCGCATTTATTTTTAGACTGCCTTCTGTGGGCTATGTTTGGGACCTATTCGGCAGGAGCACATTTGAGATGTGCCATCTTATTAATATTAATGTACCGCTAAAATCGCTACGAGTGTCATCATCGCTTGGATTATCCCCAAGAGCGATTTATAAGTCAGGTTGCACCGTTGAATATCCTATTATGTTTAGCTAAAGCGCATGGACTTTGGCATGGCATAGTAGATGTTTTACGGCGCTATAGACACAGAAATGACAGCTATGGCGCCAGTGAGGACCTTGTTTTTGATATAATATTTGGCTAGTGTTTGTTTCTAGCTTCTTTTATTTTATTATTGTGGGGGTTTTACATAATAGAATATTAAAAAATTTTGGGCGTCACTGCATGACCGTGCTCTATGGACGAACCGTGCCTGGTACCCAGCCATAGACAGCTAAAGATCTTGTCAGTATGCTACTGTTTTAGCGTCTATAAATCGCACCCTCATATGACCTTAGCAGTTGCAAGCGCCGTAAAACCCTATACTACATACATAAATGGCCGCTTGCACTGTATGCTTCCCAGGAAGTTGACGTTGTTTCAGAATGCTCTCAGGTCTGCTGGGGTAATAGTATAGATTGTGAAGCCCATAGAGCTTGCTGTTGATCGGGAATTTGCGCTATACAAATGCCATGTATCTATCAATTCTTTTATTCTGCCTTTCACTTTCACTTTAAATGTAACTATTAACACAAAGCAAACAGGCATGGTAAGTGTTTGGGATGGTTGAAATCATACTATAAAATGCATTTCTTGCCACAACATAAAAGGTTTTTGCCATTATTCTGGCCATGATGTAATTCAATGGCAACACACAGGAAATGAAATTGAAACACATACCAGCAAGAGACTGTAAGTTTTCAAAGGCTGGATTTCCTGCTTTAGCACACAAACAAAAAAAACCAACCTTTCATCTCTGAATAGGGGGCACATTTGATGAGTTTTTAATGGGGTTTTGTTCCTGCCTGTATTCATTCTGACCAGATAAGACAAAAAGGAGGGATTGAACCCCTTCAAACAGTTTGAATTTGACTTGACTTGGCTTGTACAGGCAACTGCAACCTAACAAGAGAAAGTGCAATTTACTTGCAATACTGTTGCTTCTGAGGCACCCTAACCCTAACCAGACAATTTGAGCAATCCTAGACCTGCCAACCTCCCCCATGACCAAAACTAGGGAGTATTTTTCTCAAAATCACTCCCCCCCCCAAAAAAAAACCTTTTTGGGATTTTTTTTTTCTTAAATCAGTCTCTAGAACCCACATTACACACTCACAGAGGCAAATAAATAGGTATTGCAACTAATAGCGCTATAAATGCAAAAAAAACATGTACCGTCATACCACTTACAGTACGTCAAGAATATAGAGAACAACAATAACAAAAAAATCCACAAACAAAACGAGTATGTTCCCATCCTTCACAACTCGCATACGGCCAGACAAACCGAATTCAAGGGGAAAAAAAAGGATTTTATGCTAATCTGATCAGGGTTCTTTGACAAGACCAAAGAAAATTGGAGAGTTCCAATTCTATCGGAGCACTTAGCAGCTAGCAGCACTTTGCAATCCAGTCCTCCCCAACCTGTCATGGTCATACACACAGATGTGAAAAATAAACAGATGTTGATAACCGTAAAAAGAAAAAAAATTGGAGACATCACAGGGCCTCACAATATCTAAAAGCATAAAAATAAAAAAATTTCTTTAAAATGATAATATAGCAAAGCAATGATAATAGATTAACAAGTACAGAATCCAGAGAAGACCAAAACTTTGACTAAACAACTACTGACTACTGATACTGCAAATACTAATTTTAAAAATTATTTCTATTTATACTGAGCGATGGCACCAACAGCCCGCAAAAAAAACCCAAAAACCTTTTATCTGCACTGGTGAGGGACAAAATAATTGCAGTAATTTCGTAAACATGCTAAAATACACGAATGCCACTTTGTTAAATAAAAAGCAATTCTCCATTCACCATATTTACTGACCTCACAGTATATTAAGAACACTACATTAAGAAGAATGCACCTGTTACCATGACAAAATGATGTGTTATCAATGTTGCACACACATGTTCTTATAAAAATAAAGACTCAAGTAATAATAGATATAAAAGACACAGCAAAAATAAAGGCCTTCAAAACTTAACTCCATACATAAGTACAGACAAGGACATAAAGATCCAGCAACGCTTATCATCCCGGGTCCCCCACACTAAAAAACCCTTCTTTTCTCTGAAAACAGAGTTTTTGTATATAATTTGGAACATTAAAATTTAGTCTTCTAACAAACATCTATCTGCATTCAAACATTATCTCACTTTTGAGAATGGGGAAG